TCTTAAGAAGAGATGGATAGTTAAAGAGAATATAAATTAAGATAATGTATGTTTTATTGTCATTAGAAAAGAAAAAGTCAATGCAGATTGCTGTTTTTAGAAGAATATTAATTTTGTAAATATATAGCTATAGTTGATTACAGACCATTAGTGCAGTTTCCAAACTGGATTTATGCTGGTTTAGTTTGTATGATATAAAGTTTGAGGTATAGATTTTGTATAAAGAGTTAGTAATTTTGTTATTGATTCCTTTAGTTTAGTTTCAGTAATCAAGATTATATACAGATTAGATTCCATACAGTATTCGATCCATGTTTGCATTTTTAATATTTTATTAATTTCTCTAACATTGTGAATAGTTATGTTAATTTTTTCATTTAAATTAAATTCAATTAGGTTTAGTTCGTTTGATTGTTCTTCTGATTGTTATATAATTATAGCAGTTTTATTGCTATTAATGAATGTGTTTAAGTTGTGTTTTGTTATTGGAAAGAAATAGTTTTAAAAATATTCTAGTTAGGAGCTAGGAGTAGTAGTAGTAAAAGAATCTTATTTGGAATAGTTTCAATAGTAAAGTGTTGACACAAGAATTCAAAAGTTTTGTTTACTTTTGCTTGTTCTGTTATAGGGATTGCTATATATGTTTCTTTTATGTTTTTTGTTTTTAGATATTCTATAATTGTTAATAGAGAATCAGGAATAATTGGTTTGTCAGGTTGTTGTTTAGTACTGGGTGCTATGTTTTTTTCATTAGTTTTGTCAATAGATTCTTCTATCTGTATTTAGGTCTTTGGAATTTGATAAAAGTAGTAATTTTCTCTAAGCATTTTTGCTATATCTATTAGCTGTTTTTTTGAGGTTATAGGAGTAGTAATGTTGTAATTATTAATCTGTTGTGGATTATTAGATAACTAGAGTTTATTAGTAGGGTTTGCTGTTATGATGTTTGGTAGAAATGAAAATGAGAATTTTTAAACTAAGAAAATTTGTTCAACAAAACATTTTGCAATTGTATCTTCTTGAATTGGAAAAATAAAGGTGTTTGAGGTTTGTATCTTTTTTACATTTTTTGGAAATAATGGTTTGGCCTTAAAGTAGTTATTTGGAATATTCTTAAAGTAGTAGTCTTCTCTTAGCCACTGTATTAAGTCTGGTAGATCTGTATCTTGGTCTTGCATGTTGAAGGAAAATAAAGTTTGTATTTGCTACTTAGATTTTGGTAAGCTAATAGAAGTAGTTGTTTTGGAGATAGAAGGTTAAAGTAGTTTGATAAAATAGTTGTGCAGTCATACCAATCTTGCAATCTTTTTCTGTAAAATGCTAGATTTTGTAATGCACTTTGGCTTATTATTGAAAATAAGCCCTTTACTGCTAGGTTTAGCTTTGATATTTCTATTGGCAAGGGTTCTAGTTTGATAAAGTATTCTTCTGATAGTCAGTTGAAGTAAAAGATTTTGTATAGTAAAGTAACAATGGCCTTTGTATATGCATGCTAGCTGATTGGTAGCTTAAATGACAGCATTTGTATAATGTTTTTAAGTATTTCTTTTGGGTTTGCAGAAAGAGGTTCAAGTAGTATTGCAAATGCTGTTTTAATTGCTTCTTGAATATCTTCTGTTTTAATAAGTGCTTGTTCTTTTATAAATTACTATAGTATTTAATTATTTAATAAACTTCGTTAGAAGTTATTTTGTTAAAGTTTTTATTAGTTATAAAATCTATTATGATCTTTTGTCAAACTTTTTGATATATTATATCTCTAGTTGTCTTGTCTGTAATAGTAATCGTATTTAGGTTTTTGTATGTCATTAATGGTTTCTTGAACAATTCTTCATAGGCAACTTGATGTAAAGGTATAAATTTCTTTGTTTGAGTGAAAATAAGGAAAAATGCAATATCTAGATGTCTAAATTTCACTTCAATTGCAGGATGAATTGTGTGATTGGTATATTTAGTTTGTAATTTATATATTACAAAATCAGTAATTCCTTGTTTATCTTTGAGTAATTCTATAATTTAGTTATAATTCCATTTTTTGGTATCGAAAGGTTCAATGCTATCTTTTCTGATACTTAGCTGAATAGTATCTGTCCATAATTGGTTATAATTTTGTTCATCATTAGTTTGTATTCTTTCCTCTATTGCAATGTTTTGTTTTGTTACTTGACTATAGATTTGGAGTCTGGGTTCTGTCTGGTGACTAACTATTGTATCTACTAATTCTGTTTCTATTCTATTGTTGTTTTCTTCATTGTCATGTATAACATTTTGACTAGTTGTTATTTGGGTCTTTTCTATAAGTTAAGTGATCATTTTATTACTATTTTTAATAGTTGAATCTGTGTCTGTCTTTATCAGTATGTTGTTATTGCTATTTATAATAATATGAGATATACAGTTGTGAGAAGTAATTATTTGCTCATTATTGTTGCTTATCATGCTTACAGTTGTATTTTTAGAACCTGTTGCAACTGGTTTGTTGTTGTTGTCATTGATATGAGATGATATCATTGTATTTTCTGACAAGAATGTGTTTAATTGCTTATTTTTTGTATTATTTTTTGTTCTAGAAAGAAGTGTGCATCTTCTTTTTGTTGCTTGGTCATTATAGGTTTTGTCTAGTTTGTTGTTGACTTTGTCTTTTGGCATCTTATTTGTTGTCTTGTTGTTCATTGGTAATTGTAACTAAACCTGGAAAGAAAATTTGAATGTGAGACCCTGAAACCATTATATGTCTTCTTTAGTTGTAAAAGTAATCTCTTTATCTCTTTTCCTCTTAATCTTTATTTATTTGTTGTTAATGTATTTATATTTCTTTGTTCGCTGCCACTATTCAACTCAAAATGAGCTTTTTGCTATATAATTATTTAGTTTCTTTTACTTGTTTCTATGTTGTATGTATCTAATTTTTTATTTTCTTAGTAAATTAGGATCTACAGGAAAGAGTTTTTTTAATGCATATAAAAGCTAGGTATTACTATAAAATGTGAACAAAATTCTTATAAAAAGTTGTGGTGTATATTTTTATTCTGATCTTAATGAAGTTGCCCTTACCTTGCTTGAATGCACAGAAAAAGAGCTATGAAATGTGACTGAAATATTTGACACACTTTTGATAGAGCTTCTTGATGACCAACAATGTGCAAACATAGTTGAACAAATGTCTAAAATGTACACACTTTTTCTATATACTCTATTTCAACAAAATAAAATCATTGAGTCCTTAATTTAGGTAGAACAATCAAGAGGCATTAGTTTAAAACAATTATTGCATGATTGCAACAGTTATACCAAAGCTAGTCCCGTAAAACTTTAGTACCGAGTTTTCTGAATCTTTGACACAGCAGTTGAGATACATTTGATTCTTTTAATTTACACATGTATAGAATTGTGTCATAAAGTATATTTGTTATGATGAATATTGAGGTTCACTATCTGATTAAAGAAGAATATATAATTTTGTTTGATTTTTCAATATCAGTTCCCTGTCTAATCCTCTGATTATACGTGACTATTGTAGATTATTTATATGTTTATGAAAACTTGTCAGAAGCTTTAATCCTTAAATCAATATGTACTAAATGAAATTAAGAATGCATTTATTGTTCACATTATTACACATGGTTCTTTTTTTTCAAAATCAAATTCTTAAGAGAATAACCCTCATTTATTCGTGGTGCATTGTTAGTATCTTGGAATCTGGAAGAATATAAGAGAAGCCTTAAAGAAGGAAGATATCCATTCGTAAATAACTTCCTGATGAAATTTTAGAAGATTCATATGATGAATTGGATGCAGTGGTAGACTCTTACGAAAGGCAGCATTTTATTTTTTTTAACAGAGTTAACAGCTAATATTTGAATAGAATGCACTTTTGTTGTCTTGGAAGCATGTAATTGTTGAGAACTGATTGCAATAGAGTGTTATAAGAACTTTTTTGCTTATGGAGTTGGCGAGTACATAAAAGGTTATTGATGATATCACAGCTAAATTAATGGATATTTTTTACCTATAATTAAAAAACAGATGTTGGGTAACTGAATGTCTAAACAAAGCAATGTACCATTTTATTATTCTTATCTGGAATATTGGTGTGGATTGCTATGCAGTAAAAATTCACAAGAGCTAAATATATAAAATGACATGAAATTAGAGTGATTAGAAAAATTTATCGAGTGTATTTTTAATTTAATTCTATTAAAATAATTAGCTTTATGATATGATTGATTCCATAATGATATTAAAAATAAAGTGCGTATACATATTTAAATTCTCTTACGTCCACCTTGCGAAAATCCTACATTTTTACAGTGCCGTTTACTTTGCCACAAACATTTCACCATTATTTAACCGACACCACATAGGGTTAGGATTAGCATTTTATTAGTCGCTGGTATATATTTTAGCAAATTGTCACTTGGTGTGATGTCGGCTAAATGCACTGTCGGTGAAATAATACGGCCCCCATTTTTACGATAGTATAAAAATTGAATAAATTGTTAATACTGTATTATCGTTTAGCACACACTGCCTATAGTATCTGTGGTCTTATTCAAGAATACCAGTGATTTCATTGGTGAAAAAGGGGCACTTTATGTGGTAGGGTATTATTTTCGGGGAAACTATAAGCATTGTTAAACATACGAGTCGCCAAGAGGAAATTTTGGTTTATACGTATTAAATTGCAAATATAGTTTTTTGCTAGTTCTTACTAGTTCTTGCTAGTTCTTACTAGTTCTTAATAGTTCTTAATAGTTCTAAAAAATAATTGTATATATGAAATACAAGAACTATTATTAATCTAATATGAACGAAGTTTTTCATTACTTTTTATCGTTATTTATAAGAAATGCATGTTATGATTTGATTGGTCAACAAACAACGAGATATAACAAATATACGTATAATAAAGATCAATTTAAGAATACATAGTTCTTATTTTTTTTCATTTGAGAATTTATTATTAACAAAAAAAAAAAAAAAAAAAAGACATGGAATAATCAATTTCCACCAATCATTTCTGCCGATAAAGCACTTAATGCATCCCAAGTACCAACAATAGCACCAAAAAGGGCAAAAAATAAAATAAAAATAGCCCAAACTTTTTCCAAACTTGAGATATTATTCCAACCAAATAATTTTATCCAAACTAACATTGGCAAAATCATTAATAAAACACCATTACCCATTGCGCCTAATAATGACATGATATTGGTAAAATATGGTACAGTTATTGCTATATATACAGTGAAAAATACAATGGTTAAACGAAGGATTGTACGTAAAATGATTTTACTAGATTCACGAGAAATGTTTGCAAAAAGATAATCTTCTAATTCTAAAGAGAAAGCAGTTTGATATACAGGAAGTGCAGAAAGAACGTGTATAGTAATCATTATCATGGTAATGTCAACTATGAAACCGGGTGGGAGACTAAGATATATAGGGGACTTTGTTGATCGGCCATAAGTTAAGTAAGCAGGAATACCGATTAAAAGGTACATAGAAGTAATGGTAAGTTTCGCGAGCATGACCACTTTAGGCCAATCTTTTTTCTTTTTCATGCTATAATAAACATTTATGAGTAATGAGAGAATTAAATAATTAAATAATGCTTTAGGGTAACGATATAATATTTAAAACAATAGAATTAATCTACCTGGCTTGAATATGAGGGTAAACGACATTACCCCCGAAACTGAAAAAGAAAGTTGACAGCGCGATGGGAATATTCCGATAGTTAATAAAATCATGATGGTTTTTCGAATTGTTCGGATAGTCAATGATGGACATTATGGACACGATTAATACGACAAACAACGTTGTCACAACACCAAATATACTAATGCGAATTGATTTGGGAAAGATATTAGATAAATAGGATAAAACGAAGAGCATATAGTGTAAAAAGGATATACCTTAGCCAAGCAGTTTCCTTCATTGTTTTAAGAAAAACGAATGGAATACACATAGTACTAGCACAAATAAATACCCATGTTTGCATTCCCAAATCGATTCCATGGTTACTGAACAATGTTTGTAGATTATCACCGGAGAGAACAAGATAAAGGATTGGACAGCCCAAACTTATTACGTTAAAAAAGAAACCAGCCACACATAATCCAATATTACCAAACGCTTCATATGCCAAATCCGATACAGATGTTTTACGATCTTTACTGCGAAATATGTAATCATAAATAACAATATATATTAATTTATGGATATTAATTTACCTTTTAATTTATCTTTAGATAAAGTTATAAATCGGTACTATACCCATGGCCTAAGCATTCTATTAATTTTATGCTTGTATATGTAGACATAAGTGCCGATAGAATTAGAAGAATCAAAGATATCCATCCGCCTTGTAGTAAAGCATATGGAATACCAAGTGTTCCAGATCCGGCCACCACACACCTAAAAACGTAAAGTTTTTTTAATGATTTGTAATTTCATCAAAAAAAATTAATGACATATAACATATACATAACGATAACTAACACTATATTCATGTAGGCAGCCCAGTTTGATCCAGACCCAGGATCATTGTTTATAGATCCAGTTTCTGTATCTATGGTTAACGATAGCTTAAATATAAACTTAAATATAAAGAATATTAATACAAAACAGATAATAAACTGTTTAGAAACCTTTTGAAATTGTGTTATAGCTCTTCTGTCCGTTGTCATATATATGACTTGTTTCTTCTGTTACCACCATTGTTCAGCTGTTATTAAATGAATGATTTTTCTTTTTTAAAAAAAAAGAATCAAAACAAACATCCTCTTTTATAACGAAAGTAGTGTTAATTTATTCTAATAAATAATAAATCCCATTATCTTTCTCTCGAAATAGGTTTATTGTAATTTTATTATAAAGCATGATATTTTTGTGAAACGAAACCTTACATGTAATGATATAATGAATTTGTGATAAATGAAATGTCATAAATTGCTATCATGTGTTAATTTTGTGTTCGATTGTTATATCGCAACTTTCCGATTACAAAAATATAAACAGGCTTTTATGATTACCAATTTTGAGTTTAAAAAATGTCCCGGATAGGTCACCTGATGTTAATTTATTTTATATAAATTATGCATATAATATATAATTATAACAATCGTCATAAAAAATCAATTCATAAAAAAAGTATTTCGTAATCATTAACCTATTTCAATATTAGTGATGCATTATTTCATAATTTGCCGTAATATGATATAACTTTTAGTTAACATGATAGTTTTGGTAACAATACTATAACACTAACTCTAAATTCTACATAAATTCATAAAATTTCTTATCGATAATAAATATTATCACTTGTTCTAAACTTGTTTTGAAATTAGTTTAAATATAGATAACTATCTCGTTACCCCGATAATAATCTAGTTAAGCTGTCCGGAAGTAGATGATTTTTAAGGAGAGGCAGGGAATCAAAAGCTTCGTAATAATAATCGAAGGTCATTTGATTCCTTATTGGATATATTTGATGACAAAGATTCTCGGAGATCGGGATCTAATGAACAACTAAATTAGAGAGGTATTAATGCATGTGTAATTTAGTCAATTTGAAAGAATGCGTGTCAAATTTTACGTAACAAATATTCCCTTATTAAGTATATTATATAAATAAGAATTGGTGCAAGATTGTTGAGTCAATGCAAATGCTCACCCTTATATATATTTTCTACATGCAATATATTTTACATACCGAATACTTATTTACTACGTTTATGCATACTTCTATGTATAATGCCCTATTATGTATTAATAATAGATTACCAAATATAATAATTTTATCTTCTAATCTCCAGCTACTAGAATCGCAAGAATTATCGTTTTTTAGCAACCACTAAATCAATACTATGATCTTAGAACTATTGATTCGGGAAAACTCTAAACGTCATAATACGCAATTTAAAAACACATGCACTCTAAAACGTCATGATACGCAATGTAAAAAAACGCCACGAATCCTATCAACAGAGTTACACCGGTTTGTTTATTACTTTATCAGTTTTAAGGAAAAATTGATAACGATAAGCGATCCCTCCAAGCATGACCAAAATATTTTACGTAATTGCCGTTTAAAAATTTGCTATCAGCGTTATAAATTCAAGTTTTAAGTCAAGTTTATCAAAATAAAAAATCAAACGCTAAATCACATGAATCGGGGTCTTATAAACGTGAGAGTTATTAACAAGATTTCCATTATTAAAGTTAACCCACAGTGCAATTTTTATACAGTTTTGATATATAATATACGTTGTTAATATATGTTGTAAATGAAAACAAAATTTAAGCGGATCTGAAGGCTATATCATGACATTAAACCTTTACAAAGATTAAGATCCTACCGGTAAGTTTGCTTTGAGCATATAACGCTAAACATGGTTTTGCTGTGAAAAAGCCACTTAAGTAAGTCAAGTTTTAAAATTTTAACATAGTTGATTTTTGCTATATATAGAAAATTCCGAGATAGTCAGAAAATTTAGAATTTGATAATTAGATAACTTTACAATAGTGAGTAGCAAGAAATTCGGGATACATCTTTTTATATACTACAGGCAATTGACTTTGTATAACCGGCTAAGCCGATTTTTATTTTTTAACTTGGTTTAATTAACAAATTTAGATTGACTACACAATATTGAAAAATGATAATACTTTGGTTAGTGCACTATAATATATTATATAGAACCCCGAACACATTATCTAAATATTATATATTATATATTTTAATAAATACTTCAAAAAATTTAAAAAGCAAAAAATAGATTTTTGAAATTATCTTAGCAATTAGTAGTCCAATTTAGATAAACTTTTTTTAAAATAAAAGCATATCTAATAAAAAGGTTTATTCAATTTTGATTACTGAATCTTGAAAAAATAGACAAAATTTAATTATGACCTATCGGTGAATTGATTGTCGGTGAAATGTGGGTCTACGAAATGAGTGTCGGTGAAATAAGGGCGTATCCGGTATTTCTAATACAGGTCATATAAATTACACTAACCTTAACTCTGATTCGAACCTAACCCTAATGACGATGACCAGAATTACTTGTCTGTGAAATGAACATGTCGGTGAATTAATTATCAGTGAAATAAACATGTCGGTGAATTAATTATCAGTGAAATAAACATGTCGGTGAATTAATTATCAGTGAAATAAACATGTCGATGAATTAATTGTCGGTGAAATGTTGTGTCTACGATAGAGATGGGCAAAGTAATTTAACATATTATTACTTATTATTTTTAAATATTTCCGACAATTTTTTACGTAATAAATAATAATAAGTAAAGATGCAAAATTCAATCCGAACAACAAAATTATTGAGTTTAAAATTTTACTCTCCAGATTACATTTGAAAATTGTAATAAGTAATAATCATGCATCATAAACAATCATTGGTAATAATACGTAAGTTTAAGTACTGGGTAAAAAAATAAGTAATTATTACTTACATTATTACCTTGCCTATCTCTAGTCTACGAAATAAGAGTCGGTGAAATAAGTGGAACCAAAAATATCTAAGATTCTTGTTATACTAAGATCATTGTTTAGCTAACTTATGAATTATTTATTAATAATTTTAATTCAAATTAAATAAAATTTTATTGCAAACAAATATAATATATATAAGACTATAATATATTAAAATTTTGGTTAAATTAAATGTAGTTCTTAAGAAATTATTTAAAAACTATAAATATTTTTTTTAAAAAGTTAAATATTACTAATTAAAAATTTATTTGAAAAATTTTACTTTTATAATATTTTTATAAATACATTAATATTAATTAATATTTATTTTAGTATTTATATTTTTAACTATTATCTTAGTTTGATATTCTATAATTATATTTATAACCTATTGATATTATTAATAAAATTTACAAGGGTTTGGGTCTCATAGTTTAGCAGATAAGTTTTCAACCTTTCACAGACAAGGTCAAAAGTTTGAGTTAGGTTGGAGGCAATTTTGTTTCTATAACCTATTGAAGTCACTAATTAGATACAAAGCTTTGTGGAAAAGTCCAAGTACAGATACAAATTTGGATAAAGAAATATCCAAAAAAAGACCTAATTATGAAGTGCAGATACTATGTGTAATAAGCAGTTATTACAAAAGATTATGATTATAAAAAAATTACACATATAAATTTTTCAGACTAAGGCAGTATTAACATCCTTACATCTCCTAATATAGACAGTATTAATATTCTTATACTTAACTTGTAAGGTACTTGTTTAGAAAAATAATTAATAGATTGTGTAAATAAGTCCTAATTGGAATTTAAAAAAAGGATTGGATTAGAAAATTAGTTAGAAAATAACCAAGACTAGAATAATAAGAGAAGCAATGAACACAAGAATGACCTGTAATAAAAAATTGATCTAATTAAAATTGAAAATACTTCTAATATAACTAAATAATCTAATTATAGAAAAAAATCTTGGAAAATAATATATAATTTTCTTATATAATATAAAGACACCAAATTGAGTTCTGGTCATACTTATATAGAAGTCTATAATAAACAAAACTAAAATCAATTAACCAATATGAGATAAGATTTGCAAGGTAGTATAGCATTACTAGAATCAGTGTAATTCTCTAGTTGTAACCAAAATTGTCTTGCAATTATTATTAAATAAGCTGAAAGCTTGCAATATATAGTAATATAGTATTACTGAGATCAGAGAAGTTTTTTAAATATGATCAAAAGTGTTTTGTTTGTAAGTGCAATGAGTTTCAGTCTCTATCATAGAAGGAAGCATCTTGTTAAAGATTAAATATATCACCAAATTACTGTATAATGTTAAGATCTAAGGTATTTGTAAAAACAACAACAACAGATCTGGCTTGAAATACAGATTGGTCAAAAAACCAATAATAATAACAAGTCTAACTTGAAATACAAATTTATTGTAGATTTTAGATTATTATCAAAACATTTTAGAGAAATCAATAACAAGCATTCTAAAGATAAAAAATTAAAAGGATTAGTTATACCTAAATAAGACCAATTTGAGAGTAATATAGTAACAAAAAAATAAAAAATATGAAAAACAAAATATTATTAAATATAGTTAGATTTGAAGACAGAAAAAATAAAACTAAGTAAAATATATAAGTATAACAAATAAATATAATTATAGAAGACAGTATTCTTAGTATTTAGAATATTATATTAAGTTTAGTAAATATTCTTGTCTGTATAATAGTTTAATAGTATGTCTTAATTGCAAGTAGTTGCATGCAGATATGTGATGAATATATACTTAGATGCTATATAAGTAATTAAATGAAATCAGTAGTATAAAATTAGATAGCAAATATAATATTAGTAATAATCAATTCTAAACATATAACTATAAAATTTGTATTATATTAAATTAAGTCTAATAAATCAACTAGCAATATTACTATAATTAAAAAAAAAATAAAATAAAAAAAAATAAAATTTACAATATTTATTTTATAAAAAATATATTTTTAAAAGATTTTTATTATTTTGTACATATGTATTATAATGTATTCATAAGATCAGATATATTATAAAATTAAAACAAACCAATTAATACATTAACTTAGAATAAGATTCAGTGCTAAGATAGATCAGAATTAAATAAGAGTAAAACCAATTTTTATATTAAAATTTTGCAAAGAATTTTTTTTATTAGAATACAAAATGTAGTTTTATAAATATAATTTTAAATTACAAATAATTTTTAGAAAAATTAATCTTTTTGTTCAATTTAATATTACACTTGGTCTTATAATCTGAGTGATTGATCAAGTGGATGCATTATAGCATATATGTGCTAAATTATATAAACCTGTTTTAAAAATATATTCTCTTTTAATTTCATATTAGCTTTGTATAATCTAATGATTTGTATTAAATTTTCAATATTTTATCTACTTTTTTTAATATTAAGATAGTCTTTTTTGGTTAATCTTATATGTATATATTTATATATATTATATTTAATTAATTTATATTTTCTAAATTTTGTATTATTTTATTATATTTATATAACTTTTAAATTAGTATTTTTAAGTTTTTATATTTATAATAAGTAGATCTAATAATTTAAATAAATCATAAACCTTTTTTTTAAAAAAAATATTAAAGGTGAGTACTTGCAACTTAGATTTTTATTGATAGTATGTTTTAGCTTATGATTGTATTATTATAACAGCTATAGAAGGTAATCATAAGAAGAATATACAACTAGCCATTTGTACAACTTTAATCATTATCTAATTTAAGTAGTCTGCCTGAAGGTTCAATACTAACTGTTATACCTAGAACCCACTTGTAAGTTCTTGATTTAAACATTCTGGTTCTTGTATTTACCTACCTACCTATCCTACCAACTGCTTCAGTTTAATCAGTGTACATTTACTATAATTATTAGATCTTTAAAGTGGTTTACTCATATAGAGAAGCTTTAACCTTGTACTAAACCCATTAGAGCCTTCTGTTACCTAATTTTTAGCTAACCTAGTATTACTATGACTAAGACCAACACTTGCAATCAGGGTAACCCTTAAACCACTACACTCTTGTAAAGTTTATACAACCCCAGTACCCTTTTTTACAACCTTACCAGTATCTTGTATGCTTTTGCAAGTTCTTTTATATTACCAATCTAGTTAGTTCTATATAATGCAACTTCATACCTAGGTCAATTAATAGTCAGGTTGGTAAACCCCTTTACCTAGAGTTCTTATCTGTATAGATCACCTGTCTCAGGTTTCTGTCTTCAGATCAAGATTTTATAGGTAATACTGTTAAAGATTATACTACTTTTCTATTCAGAATTTTCTAACAGGACTTTTTATAGAGTATATACTTTTCAGATTTATATGTATAACATTGCACACTTTCAAAGTTAGTCTTAGTATAACCAAAATTACAGAATTACAATCCCAGATACCTTATACAAGTTGCTAAAATAGAATCATTTTTTAAATTTTCTACTACTGCTTGAAGGATAACAACCTATTATAAAACTTTTTATATTTATATAAACTTGTTTAAAGTAGTAAAAAACTTTATAAAAAATATTATATATATATTATTTTGTTTTTAATATTTTAACTTCTATAAAGATAAAAATATATATTATATATAACACATTATTTATTTTAATTATTAAAGTTTATAATACTTATTAAATTTATTTAATAATTATATTAAGTTATTTTTTTAATCTAATAAAAATATTTATAAATCATATGAAAGGCCAGAATAATAACAGTCAAACCTAACATACAGAGCAGACTATGATATCTTGTATAACTATAAGAACTGAGCATACAGTAATCGACTCTGTAAAAGACAAATCTAAAAAATTATTTTCAAAATTTTTAGTTTTATATAATTTTGACATATGTTTTAACAAATTCTTTCTTTATTATAATATACTTTTTCTTTTTCACAACTAAATTATCCAAACACTTATATAACATATTAATAAACACAACTACAATTAAACAGTTACTAGTATTACATTCTTTATTAATTATATTTATAGTGAAACTCATATATACCTTTCTAATAACTTATTTTTGCCCAATTATATTATTATTTTCTTTTATCTTGAGTTTACACTACCCAGTACCAGTTTGCATCTCTCTGTATAATTAAGGCTATACAGATACCTTTTGACCTATTAGTCATACTAGTATAACTATAGTTAAGATATTTTATCTCAACTGATTGACAGAATGCTATTGCCATAATACAAGTATATTTTTTCAAATTTTATCTTTGGTGAGTTTTGAACTTATAACCTGCTACTTGGAAGACTAACAACTTATTTACTTTACTAAGTCATCATATCTTTTTAATTAGCAAATTTAAAATTGTAAATATATAAATAATTAATAAAATAAAATAATATTATAGCATTTAGATAAGTATAAGATTATAAATATAAAATATATAAAAAAGTAATTCTAAAAAATTGTTAAATATTTTTATTTTGCTGCAAACTTAATACAAGTTTAGATCTTTATTAATTCTTTTTACTTATCTAGATTTTAACAGATAAAATTGCATAACTCAGCTAAGCAAACCAGATACTAATTAGCATAGTAGTCTGACCAAATAAATTAAATATCTTAAAAAAAAGAATAAAAAAAAGATAATAAAATAACTAATTTTGAGTAAACTGATAATCATGTAAGACAATAAAAAGATCCTATATGTGTATTTCATAATGTTGTTATAAGTTGATAATTAAGTAACAAATACAAGTTTATTTTGTTATATACATATATATATATAATTATAATGCTATATATAATACTTTTTGATCTATAACTAAATTTTATTACATTTGATCTATTATAAATCAATAATATACTACTTATTTTTTTAAAGTTAGCTTAATATTTAGGATCCGATAGAATAAAATATTAGAAAATAATTATTAACAATAATATTATTATTAACAAATTATTTATATATATATAGTATTTAATTAAAATTTACCAATAAAATATTAAAAAGAACAAAATCTCAACAATATAACAATAAGTTTATCTAAATATTTAAATAAGTTTATTTTATATAAATAATATTAATACATAGATAAAAATTATTAAAAAAAAAACAGAATTTTAGACTTTAAATTTTCAAGCCTAAATTGATTTATTATAAGTTCAAAAGCCTGAAGTCTAGTCTTTTTTTTAATAATACTCAATAGAAATGAAAGGCTATTACGTACTTTGTTTATTGCTTTTATATATTATAAACCACATGCTATGTTTAATAGTTATATGCAAAAATATTTTGATTCATCAACATGGCTCAGTCTTTCCAAAGTCTTAGAGGATTTGATTTTCTCTGTGTTTGACTTTCTTCAGGGTTTCAGCTTTACTAAGGGGTTTTTCAGAGTCTTGCTATTTCGCCAGAGTTTCGCCATTTCGCCAAAGTTTTGCCAGTTTCAACTTTTGCATTTGTCAAAAATAGGTTTGCCTAACAACAGTAGGTGCTTATTTACGATCGAATACAGTAAAACCTATAAAAGTGTTTTTTAATCCAATAATATATTTGAGTGTTGCAGAATGAAAACCTGTAATGATTTACTATGATCTGTTACAAGTTTCCATTATATAACAATTGAAAGTCCCTAACTAAAGCAAAAGGTGGCCTTGTGTCATTTCAGTTTGAAAAATCTTGCTTGTTCATAGTATTAAAAAAAAGCCGATATTTTATAGTTTAAAAGTTTAAATCTGTAAATACATAATTTTTATACCGGGTGTTTGATGAGTCCCTAAACAGGACCCTTTTTTTTAATCACTAAGTAATTTACTATAAAGTGTAATGATTAGTAATCGTTATGTAATAAAAACCAATACTAGCAGAGATATAAAAAGGTCCTATTTAGGGACTTATTAAACACCCGGTAAGAATAACCGAAATGCTGCTGTAAATTATTTAAACCAAAAAAAAATGTTTTTTTTTTATTTATACGTAAGTAAAATGATCTATTTCTCTAAAATTAGTTTTCGGACGTTCTAAAAATTTGAGCTCACTTTAGAATGCCCTAAATTTCTAAAATATATTCTAAATTTAAAAATAAATACGGCATTGGCTAAAATTCTTTTTTTTTTTGATTTTCGGACGTGATTAATAATACAATTTTCCGAAAAATCCTAAAATCCAAAATGCCCTCATTTCTTCATTCACGTAACAATTGGAATTAATGAAATTAAAAGAGAAATTTGTATTTTTGATATAATAATTGATTTGATGTGTAAAGAATTGTCTAATAAAGAATTGCCTAATTATCCTTCCATATTCAATAGTCACATACAGTATCTTGTGTATATACAACAATTAAGATGTAGAAATCGTAATTGACATACTATGAAGCTTATGTACTTTTAACAAAGGACTTAACAAAGGTTTTACTTTTACAAAGAACTTAAGCAAAGGGTTCTTCTAAGAGTTAGGTAATCCAAATATCAAAAATATTAAAATTCCTTGAGATCCACCAACCCAATCGGTTATAGTCACACCAGTTGGAATAGGGTGGCCTTTCAAAATATTCATAACAGCACCTGTACTTGCAAATAAATTAATAAGTGCAAATAAAGATGCAAAAAGTACTATACGTATTGCTGCTGCTTTTGTCATCTCATAGTGGTGGTTAACTTCCGTGTGTCCTGTGGAGGATAGGGCCATATTAACTAACAATCGAGGAGTATGAGACCGTGGTGGTGGTGCCAATAATGTGCCCTGTATTTTGTGAACTGGATTATTCTTTTCAATGATATTTGAGTTATTTGAGAAATCTTCATCTGACCGTTGATAGGATGGATCTAAATTTGTTATTTGTTTATATATATCTACAACTGATAACAAGTCGTCACTTCTTCGCTTGTAGGAAGGATCTAAATGTCTGATAGGTGGGTGTTCTATTTGTATTTGTACTTGATTTTCCAATATTGGTTCTTTACTTCCATAACTTGCATTAGTAGAAACTGGACCTCTGCTTCTATTACTTGCTTCAGAACTCTTGAAATATTTCAGGTGTTTAATTACCACATAAGCAGAACGACCTATAATGATTATAAAAAAAAAGTATGAATCAAAATATAATATAGAGGACCTCTACTATAAATAAATTGATTAATAATCAATTTTATTAATGAGGTCCCCTATACTATATTTTGATCCAAAGGTATTATTAGCATCAAACTTATTATTTATTCAATAATACAATTCTCATTAAATAAAAAAAAGATCACTTACCACTTAAATAAACACCAGGAATACTAATCAAGAGATTAGATCCAGAATTTGCGAATAATCGAATCCATGATGGAGAAACAATATCACTACGAAACAATAAAATAAATTTTTTTTTCACCAATTATGTGCAAAAAAAATCATAATATCAATTAATGTATACCTACCAATTCATTGTTCTGGGCTTAATGGCCCTGTAACGTATAGAAAGCACCATAATGATACAAGTCATAAAAACCGGATAGATAACAATAATCATATAATATATCTTTTGTAAAGCTGGCGTTGTTAATCTCTTATTAAGAACAAGAAGATTGTAGGCATGTATCGAAAAACATAATGCACATGCTATAGCAACATAACACATATATTGTAACTATTTAATTTATTATAACCAGAAATATTATAAGCTTTATGTTCATAATTTAAAACTTTGTATTCATTGTGAACAAAATGATGCTCACTAATAATCCTTGAAAAACGCAAAATCCATAAGGAGCATTTTGCAATTGATTTTTCCAAATTATACTAAGTAATACATTAAAAGAGAAAATAGCATAAGAAGTCGACATTGTTGCCAACAGGCCAAGTTTTTTTTTACCGTATAATCTTATTGCTGTATAAGTCGAACATATTAATGATATAAAGGTGATTATGTTAAGAAAAATTACGATTGAATTGAAGGACATTTTTGATTAAAAGATGAAAACTACGCATGTATAAACGCATGCTTCATTGGTTAAAGTAAAGATATATATATATATTTGTTTTTTTTTTGTTTTTTCTTCTTTAACCTTTTATGCGTCTAGATTACGTAAACATTAAAAGTATCGTAGATCTTGAATAGACCCCCAGATAATCATAATAAATTTAATACGACAGAGTGAAACATGAATTGTGTAATAGTGAATTCCGCTATGAGTGTTTTATAAACCGCGGCAGAAAAAATTCGCGATCAGGTGATTTCTGATCGTTCTGAGCCTATCAACATATACAGGTAGGTATATTACTGCCTTAAAACGCGGATTCACCCTAACCCGATCTACAAAGCGGATTTCACTATTTCCAGGTTTCGCTCTGTTCTAATTTAATTTTAATACAAAAATGAATTTAGTTCAGGATGTACCATTATCGTTATCGTCTACTTTTTTGTATGAGTTTCCGAAATAAGTATATGATTTACAGCTGTTCTCATAAATTCAGGAACCACCGATAAAAATTGATGATAAGTTTTGAATTCGGTATTATCGGATTACTCTAATGCCGAAAATCCCACCGAATTCAAAAACTTATCGAATTCGGCCGATCAAATTTTTATCAGTTGTAATTCGTAAAGTCGAAATTGATCTATAATATTTTTTGTTACAACTCGTACAAATGATTTAATAATAATTCCGCCGTTTCTCAACAGTAGATCTCATATCTCATTCGTTGACCCGATTTATAGATAGGGTTAGCTTGATTTACACGCTATCCTCGTTATAGCGGCTGGGAAATTCCATCCGTTATAATAAATTAGGGTGGGGAATAGGTCGGCTAAGCCCAGAAATTTGCGGGCCGAACTTGGGTTTTGTGAACAGGCCAAACGGGCCTATTATAATACTAGTGCTTCAATTTTAAATATTACCATTATGATTACATATCCCAACATAGCAGATAGATTAACAAAAATTTAGCAGAATGGTTTTTCGGTTGATTTGGTTTCAACTGTTCTCATAAATTTTGGGACATCTGATGATTATTTTACCGATTTGATAAGTTTGTGATTTCAGTCTAAATGACATTTGGTTTCGACAATGATCGATATAATAGTTATATAATGTAATTAGGGATGTCAACGGTCGGTCACGGTCGGTCATAATCGGTCATGAGTCATGACCGAACCGACCGCGGTCATGACCGATGGGTAATTTAAAATTTTAGCATCTAGCATTATTTAATTAATTAATGTTAATTAATGTTAATTAATTTAAGTTACTGTATTATACCGTAAATAATCTGTCCTCTCTATCTATTTTTTAAATGCCAGATTAGTGAAAAAAATTGTTAAATATCTCATTGTGATTTCTCTAATCTGACATTTAAAAAAATAAGATAGAAGGGATGACGCTTATTTATAATAGAATACAATAAAGTTTTTTTTGATTGAGTTAATATATTAATTTGGAATAAATATATATTTAAATTATATAATCTGTAATAATATAAAATATAATTAATAATGTAATATTTTATTATAAAATAAATTTAATTTTAATAATAAAGATAAATATAAATTTAGACTTATTGTCTAGGAAAAAACCCATTGAAAAAAAAACCTTAAATAAATATAATGTAATAAAATATAAATATAATAAATATAAATATAAATATAAATATGATAAAATTTTAAAATATATTATAAATATAAAATTTAAATAATATTTTCTAAAAACCAACTATGTAAACATAAGGTTGCTTTTGCTGAATCATCACTTAATCTATTTCTTGATTTATATAAAACTTATTCTGCAATAAAAAAAAAGTTGTTTACATGAAACAGAACTTGTTTGTATACATAAATAATCATGAGCAAGAATTGAAAGTATTGAAAATTCTGTTGAATGAGTTTTTTACCAATCTAAAGGATTAATATTTTCACTTATTTCAGATAATATCTAGTATTTATAAACCTCATTATTTTGTTCATAAATTTGAGTATTTTCTTTTAAATGTTAAAAAAACTTAAAATTTTTTTAGGTGATTGTAAATTTAAGTTTTTAGGTTGATATTGTGTTAATTTTTCTCAAATTAGTAAAAAAATTTCTTCATTAGTTTTGTTCAAAAACAATATTTTTTATATCTTGGATCCAAAAAGCAGATATATAAATTGATTCTTCTAATTCATCCTAATAAATTATAAGTTTATCAAACATATTATTAACAACAACTTGCAAAATTTAATCATTTCCTTTATCATATTCCAAATCTTTTTTAATTGCTAATAAAATAATATATGCATATGCAATTGTAGAATATTTTTGTAATGAAATATAGTAGTTGCTTCTTCAAATTGTTTTAGTAATTAAATTAAATCTTCAAATTTTTCTTATTCAAAATTAGTAGGTCAATTTAATTTTAAAGTAGAATTTTAAACAAATAATATTTCAATATATTCTTTAAGTTTGTAAGCTCTTTTAATTATATAAAATGTTAAATTCTATCTAGTTTTATAATCTAAAATAGGTCTTAAATAAGTTATATTATCTATTATTACAAAATTATCTAATTCCTCAATAAGCTTTGATAATTTGCGAATATTTTTTATCAATTTTCTTAATTTTTTAATTAGTTTTTTTAAACAAGTTAATTTTGTTATAACTATTAAATTAAGAATATAACCTGTACATTTATAATAAATAAATTTATTTTTAAATAGTTGATTTTTCACAAGTTATCATATTAACAGCATTATCTGTTGTTAAAGAAATTATTTTATTTTTTAATCCAAATTATAAAAGTAAATTATAAATATAATCAGCAATAACTTGTCTGAATATAAACTTTTAAATTTGTATATATCTAAAGTAAAATGTTACAAAATCCAAACTTCATTAATAAAATAAATTATAATAGCTATAAAATTTTTTTTTTGGTATTAAGGTGAGGCCTTGCTTATATCTTTATTAGTAGTTTTAAAGTTAGTAACTACATGGAGTTA